CCTGTTCATGGAAGTCGCCAGGAAGGGTCTACTTGTAGGTTACAACAGATTTGCTAAGTCTTACTGAAGTCTTAAAGTCATATTTTAAATAAATAAAAAGTTATTAATTTCTTTACGTGAAACTTTTAATGAGGAAAAAATGACTGAGTGCATCTCTAAAGAAAAGACGAACAAAATATGATTTAGAGAAAGCGTACAAGGAAACTGAATGGGTCTTATAAACAATTAGATTTTTTTCCCTCCTAGACGACCTTGCTGATAGTATAACTAAAACAGATCAAACCGCAATAAAGACTCGGTCATTTTGTTTTTGGCAGCACTGCTAAGCTGGACTGAGCTCTTTTTTAGAGTCTTCCTATAGCTTCATCTTTCTGCCTCCCTTCACAAAGCAAAACACTTCCTTCTGCCTCTCTTCAGAGCCGTAAAATGGGCTGGCGTTGCGTCGCTGAGCGAGAAAAACATAACACGAGCTGCTGTGCATCAGTCTCGCTGACGGCTGATGCGTTTTCCACACCAACAGCCCAGATTTCGCCTTGGGATAATATATCTTGTCACTTAGTCAGGGTGTAGGATTATAGCCCATCAAACAGTGCATCCTCAACTCTAGCTGAGCTGACTCACCGCAGAAAACAGGCCTCCCAGCCACTGTCCATTAAAGACATCTATACTAGCTGACACCTCCCCACCATAATGACACTATACCGCAATCCCATGCATCTTTCAAGCCGTTTCTCTCCCGTCTTCCGAATGATGAATTTGACAAACATTAGAAAAAGCCAACTACTTTACTTCTTTTGAGTTTCATTATTTTCAATGCTGGGTGAATTATTAGACGCTAAGAGCAACAAAAAGCATAGTTCACCCAAAAATGAAAGTTTGCGATTATTTACTCATCCTCGTGTTGTTCCAAAGCAGTATGCTGCCTTTATGGAACGCATTCTTTTTCCATACAACAATAGTTCACGGTGATTATGGCAGGCAGAGCTACAGTAAATAAAAGAAAACTCCACAACTGGTGCGCTATATTCTTCAGAAACCATATCATAGCTTTGTGTGAGGAACAGATTGAAATTTAAGTCATTATTCACACGCTCAGATGCGTGTCATACCCAAATGTGATGCATCTAAATATACTACTGTTCAGAAAAGTTTGGAGTTGGGAAGATTTTATGTTTTCAAAAAGGAAATCTGTTATGCTCCCTGCATTTATTTAACAAAAAATATTGTAGTACTGTGAAATATTATTGCAATTTAAAATAACTGTTTTCTATAGTAAAATATTTTTCAAATGTAATTTACCATTACATTTACTCCAGTCTTTAGTGTCACATGATCCTTCAGAAATTATTCTAATATTCTGATATGGTGGTCAAGATACACTTATTAAACACTTAAGAAACAATTATTATTATCATCAATTTTTGATAATTGAAGACAAATTTTTTGCTAAATACATTTGTGGAAACCGTGATCCTTCATGAATAGAAATTTTTAAAGTACAGCATTATTTTGAAAAGTAAAGACAATCTATAAATTTACACTTTTAATTAATGTAATATATTAAAATAAATAAATAAAAATATATGTCTTACTGACTCTACACTTTTAAACTGTACTGTATGTAGTATGAGATTTGAGAGACGCAGTGGAGGGAACATTTCCCAGTAAAAAATTTGAGTACATTTCTTACACAAAGCTATCATACAGCTTTGTCCTTTTGGTTTAAAAACACTATGAACTGTTGTTTATTAACAAAAAAAAAAACTGTGCCAAAAACTACAAGATAGTTTAAGCATAGGGCTAAGTAAATAAACAGAATAAAAAAAAATTTGTGAGCTATCCCTTTAAATGCACTGTTAATACATCATACCATGCAACAAATAATTACTAATCAAATTAGCTAGCCCAGCATGAATAGCAATAGCCCGGCTGACGATGAAAGAGCCTAGAATCAAGCACAAATTGTGAGATCTTTAACATAATGAGAACAGAACAGTCCTGGGGTGCCATAAATTTAGAAAATAAATACAGAACTTCCTCAAATGTAGCAATAACCAAAAAAAACAAAAAAAACAAAAAGGTAGCTTGCAGGGCTACTCGGTAAGAAATCTCATTCAAAACTGTGTCAAAGATATCAAGACAAGGTCATTCAATCACCACCTGCTGACAAGGCGAATATACACTTTCTAGAAGCAGCACGGCTTTTATGAGGCATTCGCTAGCTCAAATATACTATAAAATGTCATATAACAGTGTAGGTTTGGGAAAGTACTTCTCATAACCTTTCAGCAATATAAGGTAATATTTGGCACAGCGGTGTTGCATTTAAACATTAAACCTTCTACTTATACAGAAAACAAATACATGACTTATTACCAGTAGTTGAAATGTAGTCGTTTGGGTACATTCTGTAATAATTTCAAAATAAACCCGCTCTATTTTGGGGCATGCTCTAAAAACTGTACAAATAATTATAAGGTCAGGAAATGTATTCAATTTTCTAGGCTAATTTCCATGCTAATATAATTTGCTCTGTGTCCACGTGGGATTAATCTGGCTCTGAAATGACTCTGCTGTCATTACGCATGAGGATGAAACTGCCAGTCAGAGTAGACAGAGTTTGAGAGAACGTAATCAAAGCATACAAACTGTCGGCGCAGTCAATGCCCATGTCAATACATCAGAGAAAGTTTGATAGTTTAGGGAACAAGATGCAAAGCAGTGGATGAAGTAGGACTCGCTTCCACTGAGAACACAACTGTATAAACTAGTTTATTCTCACATCAACATTGTCATGACTGTATTTCTTGGCATGCTAGTTAGCGATCGCTGTAGTTTATTTGGTACTCTGCAATTTCATTTCATCAAAACGCTTCAAATCTGGCTAAAGCTGTGCTTCTGTTTAACATAGTAGGACAATCCCTCAACTGAGTACTGATGCTCCAAAATGAAAATTCTCAGAATAGCACAATATACTTATACCACACATACAGAGAGGCTGCAAATCTCTGTAAACAAAAACTTCTTTCCATCAATATATCATCCATCATTTTTTACATGATGGATGATGATGGATCATTTGACATGCTTGCTGCTTTTTTGTACATGTCAAAGATTCTGCTACTAAATGCTCGTTTCTTTTCAAACTTTCAGCCAAAATGTACAGTTTTATACATTAAATGTTATTTTAAATGTTTTTCAAATGTTTATTTATACGCATGTAATAGCTTTTCCTTGCATATATGCGTAACATATGTCATAAACTGAAGCACAGATGACTTGAAAGAAATTCATTCTTCTGTGGAACATAAAAGATGATATTTGGTGTATGGACCAAAAAAATAGGAAGACGATTTAGAAATTATCATCTTTTTTTGTTTCACAAAGTAAAGTAAAGGATGAAAGAATGCTCTTTTGTGGTTGAACTTTCCCTCTAATGAACTATAAACAGTAAGCACTGAAATATTTTCATAGAAGTGCTGACTTAGAACAAATATGAATTTAATAATATCTCTGCACTGCAGTGCTGACTAATTTTTGAAGATTTTAAATTGTTTTGAATTATTTTTGAAAGAATTCTCATATGCCCACCAAGACTGCATTAATTTGATCGAAAATACAATAAAAACAGTAATATTGTGAAATGTTATTACAATTTTAAATAATTGTTTTCTATTTGAAATATTACTAAACGTAATTTATTCCTGTAATGGCAAAGCTGACTTTTCAGTAGCCATTATTTCCGTCTTCACTGTCACATGATCCTTCAGAAATCATTTACATTTACATTTAGTCATTTAGCAGACGCTTTTATCCAAAGCGACTTACAAATGAGGACAATGGAAGCAATCAAAATCAACAAAAGAGCAATGATATGCAAATGCTATGACAAGTCTCAGTTAGCCTAACGCAGTACATGTAGCAAGGTTTTTTTTTAATTATATAATAAATAAAAAGAAAACAGATAGAATAGAAAAAGAATAGAGCAAGCAAATGTTAGAGGCCCCTTTTTTTTGCTTTTTGTTAATTGTATATTAAATAAAGAGAAAACAAATAGATAGAATACAAAAAGAATAGAGAAGCTAGTGTTTTTTAAGAATAGAATTAGAATAGAGAGTGCTAGAGTTAGAGGGTCAAATAAAGATGGAAGAGATGTGGTTTTAGCCGATTCTTGAAGATTGCTAAGGACTCAGCTATTGGTAGCCAGTGCAAATTGATAAACAGAGGTGTGACGTGGGTTCTTTCCGGCTCATTTAAAATTAATCTTGCTGCCGTGTTCTGGATTAATTGTAAAAGTTTGATAGAACTGGCTGGAAGACCTGAATCAGAAATTAGAAATCATTCTAATATGCTGGTCTTGTGCTCAAGAAACATTTCTTATTATCAATGATGAAATCAATTATGCTGCTTAATATTTTTGTGGTAGCAGTGATACTTTTTTGATGAATACAAAGTTTACAAAAAAAACAGCATTTATTTTAAATATATATTTTGCAACATTGTGAATTCCTTTACTGTCACTTTTGATGAATGTACTGCATCCTTGCTGAATAAAAGTAGTAATTTCTTTAAAAAAATAAAATAATAATAATAATAATAATACAAATAATTCATTACATTTATATAGCGCTTTTCTGCATTTCTAAGCACTCAAAGCGCTCTACATTGTGAGGGGGGATCTCCTCGTCCACCACCAGTTGTCACCAATCTATTTCTAATATGCATTTCCTTGTAGTGCCGGTGAAAATATTGGCAGGCAAGTAACAATCAGAACTACAAGTCTGATTGGACCAGCAGAAAAAAAAAATCCTTATTGTTGAGCTCTGCAAATCAGTTCATGCTCATGAAACAATTGGATGATCATTTTGTGGTTTGTAACAAGGTAAACACCATTACTGAATCATTAAAGTGGGCATGTAACATTATCCCCCTGTCGAACCATTCATGTTCACAGTGCATCTGTGAAATTGAGAATAGAAGCTGCAGTGAGGAAAAGATACCTGAGGGGGGGCTCCTTGGGATCTCTTCCAGGGGTCCGGACGGTGGAAGCCTCCAGGGGTGAAGGCAGCAGGTTGAGGCATGATGCAAGGGATTGACTGGAATCCTCCCGTGAGGCTGTAATAGCAAATTAAGAAAAAAAAGGCTTCTGGGATAAGCTTCAACTTTATTTCCCTAAAATAAGGGATTTATTTATATTTTTAAGACATTTTTGTACAACAAACAAAATTTTGTACTTTGTTGGGTCGCCACTTGTCCAATGTGTAATCTGGGTCCTGAAGCAAAACCAGCTGAGAACCACTGATCTAGAGGAAGTTCATGCCAAAATGACTTCATGCACAGGCGCTGCAATAATTACTTCTCTTGCAAAAAAAAAACTGCTTTAGTAAATATCAGCAATGACATTCGCAGTGTTTATCTGTCTAGAGGCTTTGCCTGTGGTACATGTTAACGTGTAGCGTCACATGTGCTGATGTAACTCCTCCCGAAATATCAGAACATTTGGAAAATTAAGATGACGACATGACTAATTCATCATTGTATGCGTGCATAACTTTATGGTGTAATATTTTACAAGGTATTAAAATCTGAAGACTTGCCCATGTCTTCTTCAGCTAAAGCTGGGGGGAATAAGGTCTCATCTTTTTTTATCTACGGCAAAAATCATTTCTTCAAGCGATGCAGCTATTATAAGGATATGTAATTACTATAACAAGATATTCAGAGATTTAACAGCATGAATATGAATGAGAGATAAATGCCATAATATATGTTTGAGAGTCTGAAGCAAAAAGGAGAGAGCAACTGGAGTCTGGTAAAAACATACCATGGCGAGGTCTCTGGTCATCAGAGAGGTCGAGATCCAGCATCAGGTCATCCTCATCCAACTCAGATGAGCCAAGGTTATTCAAAACATCCTGGAAAAGAGAGGAAAAAAATATCATGCCAAAATAAAACATTTTTGCTAAGGAGAGCTCCGTGAGTATGGTTCTGGGTCCATTTTATTACATGCCATAATTTGCCAACAAATGGGGTTATGTAGTTGCACATAATTAATGAACTTATAATTAAAGAATATAGTAAATATACATTTAATATATGTATTATTTCCAGTTCTTACTGCAAAAGAATTACATATTTTTATAAATTTAGATTTAATCTAAAATATGAATGCATTGTTTGTTAATATTTTTAAAGTACATAATTTGGTGAAAAAATATAAATAGTTTAATGTAACACACACACACACACACATATACACATACTATCATTGTACCATTTGTTTGTGGTGAAGCCAGTAAAAATGGTAAAAATGAGGACAAGCAAACATTGTATGACCAGGCCAATAGGAAAAAAAAAAGGTCTTACTGTTGAGACCTGGTATCCATATAAGAGTCATATTTTAGTAGTTATGACATATTTAGAATCCAATTTAATGTTTCTACTTTGCAGTTAGAAGTGACTAAAGACTTTCTTAAATTAAGCTCAAACCTCCAGCTGCGTGTCATGGACTCTTTGTTAAACCAAGACGACAAAAGAGGACTTAATTTGATTTAAAGACGCCTCTACAGCAACCTTTCCACACATCAGCGCAAAAAAATTCCACTGTGCACTCAAGAAGCAGAAAACCTGTATATCGCTCAAACCAAAGTGGGGTTCTGGGTGATGCTTTTCAAAGTGTCACACTGCCATCTTGTGCCCAGCATGAAAAAACCACCTTGGGATTGAAAGCTAAAGGTAAGAAAAATAACACTAAAACAGGGTTGTTTATTATAACACACAAGCCGGACTCAGCAAAGCTCTATATGGAGTATTTCAAGCTAATCTTATTTAAAAGTGCATGTAAAAGGCAAAAAGGCAAAAGAGCAGCTATTATGTCCTATTAAAGTGGAAAAGCGCAGCTCTGTGGCTAATTAAGCAGGACAGAGCAAAGTAGTGGATAGTGCATCAGAACAGAAAAGTGCCTTAACTTTGACTTTGCTAGAAATTAAAGGGTCGCTGGGCCCCTAATTAAGACTCTCAGGAAATGAAACGGCCTGGCCTTTACCTCTGTGAAATATTACGATGCCAAATGACAAAATGAACATAATGCATCACTACTGTTGTAATCTCTGTAAGAACGTAATATTGATGAAGTGAATGGCCTTATTCAGTGACCTTTTCAGACAGCTTATTTAGATATATTAAAGAAGAACAGTGTCATGGTTCATAAATGTCCTTGTGAACATAAACGGCCGAACACAGGTTGTTTATGTGCGTATGCATGCAAACCGCCTCAATCAACAAGGTCGCTAATCACAGATATTGACAAGAGACGCAGAAAGGACAAAAACGGCCAGTGCTCGATAAAAATGTCTGCGTGAAAGAAAAAAGAAAGAGGTGATGAAAAGTAGGGCTGAACGATTAATTGCATTTACGATAATATCGCGGTATGAAAAAACGCGATTTTTCAATCGCAGAGGCTGCGATTACACTCGGTCACGTGACACGCGAGAGTAAAGAGGTGTGTTCGACTTGAAGATCGATCGATGTATGACATCAAAGTACAGCAAGAGAAAGCATAAGGAGACGTCCGCACTCTCTTATAGCTCTTGCAGTACTTTGATGACACACACCCATCGGTCTAAGCAGCGCTGCTTCAAGTCGAACACCTTTAAAAAATTATTGCATATTAAATCGCAATCGCAATATTGGTAAAAAAAATCGCAATTCGATTATTTTCCAAAATCGTTCAGCCCTAATGAAAAGAATCTTTTTTTTCTTGAGGAGGTGACAGAGAGCTGACATTTGGTGTGACTCACTCTCCATCTCCCGATGTTCAGATTTTTCTGATCTTTTCATGTCAGTGTCAGGAAAAAATATGCTTTACTTATTAACTGAAATATCCTGCGGCCCTTGACAAAAAGGCCAAAACAGTTCAATGGCAATGTAAACAACTTTTCTTCCCTTCGCATTTCAGAAATCATAAAAAAAATATCCCTGTGAGAAAATAAACACTGAAACACTATTTGAGGAGGCAATCTAACAGGTTTCACATTAGCAGGTTAGGCAAGGATACATCCTCAGACACATTCAGAACCAGAAATCTGTGCTGCTACCAGAAATTCTTATGAGGAGTCAGAAAACATTTGCACAAATATATCCCAGGGATTAGGAAATGACCCGAACTGAACTCAGGGCGCCCGCACTTAAGATCCATTGCAAGACGTGTTAAGAACACGTGCCTATTGGTACAGTATTGAGATGCTGAAGTAACTGTAGGGAGAAATGGCAAAAAATGAGACATGATTCAAACGGTCATGGTACCATCATGAACGAGTGTCGAAGACTAACACGGAAGAGAAGAAATTGTTAAATAAACAAGTTATTTTTGTTTTCTTTGCGGACAAAAAGTATTTTTGTAGCTTCATAAAAAAAGGTTGAACCACTGATGTCACATGGACTATTTTAACAATGTCCTTACTACATTTGGGCCTTGATCGCGGTAGTTATGTTGCTGTCTATGGAGGGTCAGAAAGCTCTTGGATTTCATCAAAAATCTCTTAATTCGTTTTACGAAGAGGAAAGAATGTCTTACAGGTTTAGAACAACATGAGGTTGAGTAAATAATCACAGAATTTTCATTTTTGGGTGAACTGACCCTTTAAGTCAGTAGTGATTATTTTTAGTTGGTGCCAGTCATTGGTGTTATATCAATACCATTGCAGAGACAACCTCAATTAAACAAATGTCATCGAATTTCAAGTCTAGGCCACAACGTATTGAGCAAAATAAGGCCTGATTCAATAAGGCAGCTTTTTCTTAAGTGAAACTCAGGCCCTTCAAATGTTTCATTCATCAGCAAGACCAAAGTCTCCTGCTCTACAAAATAAAGGTTGATTGCAAGCTAAAAACAATTAGGCTGTATCAAACAAGAACCATCTTGATGCAAATGAAGCTGCAAAAGGCAAAGCCAAATTACCGAACAACACTTATGTGATTTACAAGTGTGTTGGCCAAAGATTACAGAAATGGGAAACTACTGTAGTTCCTCAAATGTTAATGTTTGAAGAACACAGAGAGCAATAACTGGCATGCTTCCCTTGAGAGCAGTGAGCATAACCACAATTTCTCACTGTGACAATGGAATACTTCCCTTTTCCCGCCTGTCTTTGTGTTTGCATAAAAAGTTATGCGAGTCAGCCCCGTAAAAAGTATGTTAATGAGCATTTACATTCTTTGGTGATTACAGTGTCAGCTTAGAAAAATCTACAAAAAAGACTTTAAAACAGAACACGCACACAAAAATTCTTTCTGTTTTTTAAGAGGGCTTAAACTAAAAATGAGAAGGTAGCAACTGGCTTTCAAAATGGAGCATTCAGAAAACAAATGATTTTCTTTTAAATAAATAAATATCATTGTTATTCATGCTTAAGTTCATTTTGAAAATGACTCACGCTTCAGTGAGCGAGTCAGTTATTAGACCAATTCATACAAACAACTTGTGAGTTTGGGACATGTTTGAGACTGATTCATTAAGAGCCGACTTATTCATTTGCAAATCGGACATCACAGATAATAATGTTCATTGTTCCGTGCAGTTTGCACAACGCAAAATGCTGCCCTTTCACTGAACTTGACGGCACCGGAGAAGAGGATTTTCCTTCAACAAATCCGTTTCATCCGTCAATTAAAACGTAGGCTCACATATCCATTTATCTTTATCTGGCACAGCTTAGGATACAAGAATCTGGATCCTCAAATTCGCCCAAAACATACAACACGTTTCCTAAGATTTCCGATTTCTGTTGACAAACCTGATCAGACACGCTGCCTTCAGGATGTAGCCTCATCCAAGAACAACTGCCAAGCAGGATAATGTAAATGGAAAGGCCAGGTCAGCCCAGCCAGAGTAAAGGTAACCCTCACTCACAAATTTTGTATGGCACATGACTTGATGACAAATTATCAGTGGCACTTTAGCAAGCATTAAAGAACAATAACACAGGATGTGGCGTTTTCCTCTGCTACGCTGGAAAACAAGAGCAATTACATTGGCCTCAAGCTGTGCAGGTGCAGGCTACATTATTGAGAAACAAAACAAAGCCTTTATAACTTTGTAGGAACTAGCCAAAAGTATGACCCATTGTTTTTCCTTACTAATTGAAAGAATGTTTTCCTGTAAGGGTTTTGTCTAAAATCTCACTCAAGCTGAATTCTTTATCTATCACCAATGAATGGCACAAGCTAAAAAATAGTCACCGATAACTTTATTTAACCATTCAAAAGTTTGGGGTCAGTAAGTTTTTGTTGTTTTTTGTTTTCTTGAAGGAAATTAGTTTTATTCAGCAAGAACGCATTAAATGATACAAAAGTGACATTTATTTATAATGTTACAAAAGAATTATATTTCAAATAAATGCTGTTCTTTTGAACTTTCTATTCATCAAAGAATCCTGTATTACGGTTTCCACAAAATATTAAGCAGCTCTTAATACTTAACTCTTTTGATAATATAAGAAACATTTCTTCATCACCAAATTAATATATTAGAATGATTTCTGAAAGATCATGTGACGCTGAGGTCTGGAGTAATGGCTATTGAAAATTCAGCTTTGACATCACAGGAATAAATTGCACTTTAAGGTATTTAAAATAACTGTTCTTTTTTAATATTGTAATGCAGTTTTGGTGTGCATAAGAGACTTGACAAAGCCATTACAAAATCTTACCAACCCCAAATATTTGAGTAATAGTGTACAACATGTATTAGTAGTTCACAGTAGTGACAGTAGTTCAGCTGTTTTCAAATCAGTGTAAATTTTCAAGAAGCAAGCTACTAGTGAATAGGGATGGGTTAGTATGGTTGACTATCCTGTTACACATCTAATAACTACTTATGAGCTTGACTAGTTAATATTTTCAGCACTGATACATTTAAATAGAGACACAATTTTTAAATATTCGAGTTTTAGCATGTAGAAAGTGTGCAGTAACAAATTCCCTTTCAAGGAAAGTCTGTTCACTCAGCAGCGATATTTGCAACGCCTCCAGCTATTTCGGGCGTCCAAGGCCAAGTCGTATCTCCTTGAATGGGGAAATAAAAGGTTTTTTTTATGTTCAAATAACATTAGAAAAAGCTTATATTTCAGGCTGGCCTATCCAATGCACACATGCCATCAGTCCTAAGCACGGGTCTCAGGACAATGACTGTTTCTATGGCAAACAGAGTTTCTAATGGCAGCTGCAGTGATGTGATGACTTTAACTGGCTCTCTTATTTAGAAGGCGGGACTTAATCCACCATAATAATGCAAGTTGCGTTTTCTCTCATTCATAGTAATATGAGTGCACCGCCTTTGTATATCTGAAGTCTTTGGTACTACTTTAGCATGCTAACAGTTAGCACTGTACATATATTTGTTCTCACTGAAAACACCACTACAGGAATCAAAGAACTGCTTGTGCTCCACCACCTTGAACAAACTTCAACACAATCACTGTTGGACTTCAAATGGCCTGCTGTGAACAGTGCTCCTGTTATTACCCATAATCCACAGGTTTATTGTGAGGTCTTGTGAAAAGATTAAAGGACAATATTTTTCTGGAGTCTGCTTTTAATAAACAGATGGTGGCTTTAAAAAAATACTTGCAGTACAAAAAGGCTGTTTTACGTTGTCAACTAGATATTTCACAATCACAGCTTTTCTAATGAAACTGAACTTGTGAATGAGGAATGAGAATCCATGAGGCCCAGTGATTAGGTTACAATGAAGCATCACAAAAGACTGCTTCTCGCACAGTAGCTCAGGACAGTGTGCTCTAGGCAAATTCACAGCAGTGCCACTCTTTTCCATTTCGTAATTATTGATTTAACTGCACTCCACGGCATATTCAATAACTTTGAAATATTCTTATATCTTTCACCTGCTTTGGGATTTTCAATTACATTTCAGAGTTGATTCAATCGTCCTTTTTTCTTCAGGGCTAAGTTTTACCACAGTACTGACTCACCAGAACCTGGACCTTTCAAGTAAAGGTGTATATATACAATATATTACAAGAATTCTGAAGTCATACAATAGTTATTTGTGTTCCTATCCTTTTGTGTCTTTTTGAAACTTGAAAGCTTCAGTCCCCCTTTCACTGTAATTGCATCAAAACAAGCAACCAGTACATGAATCAAAAATATTTTGTTTGTGTCACTGTTATTGTATTATAATTTAGAAACTTACATTTAAGTGTCTTTAGACACTTTTATTCATATTTAAAATTCGTTTTTATGTTTATATTTTCTCTCTATAATAACTCTGGCTTGTGTTCCACAGAAATAGAAAGTCATACAGGTTTGGAGTGACATGAGGATGAGCAAATAATGACAACAATTTTGATAAAATTTCGCAAAACAACATTTGGATTTAATAAAAAATATTCTACAGAGGGAAAGTGACACATGGATACTGGCCCTGCTGACCTGCTGGGTAAAATGGTGTGAGGGGATTTGTCTGTTTAATTAAGCACTGCGATTATATCGCTGGGTGGGAATTTAATCCCTCGGAAAGACACATTGAGAGTCTACATCAATGGTTTTACAAGACAGTCATGCATTTCAATCAAATAGACCAGTTCATCTATGACTGATTTTAGAAAATGTGAGCTTGAGCAGTGGAATGGCATTATATTTACCAGGCTGCCCAGTTTGGAAGATGAGGAAATGGTTCTCTGCTTGGATAAAGTGTTGCCCTCCATGCAGTGAGGATCCCTGAGGTTGAGGTGAAGTCTGGGTCCTCCTGCACCCTCAGAGGCCGACCGCAGACGTCTCTCCATGCGCATCACCTCATGGTACGGGCTCACGCTGCTGCACATGGACACTGTAAAGGATACAAACATAGATTAGAAAAACATATCCCTCAAAACAAAGAGCTCTAAACATACTGTTCTGAGTTATTCTGTATATTTCTTTGTTATTTCAGTATATTTCATTATATTTATACAGTATATAATATATATATATACACATACACACACACACACACATAGGCGTTCAAAAGTTTGGGATCAGTAAGATTTTTTTAATGCTTTTTAAGAAGTCTCTTATGCTCATCAAGGTTGCATTTATTTGATCTGAATCACAAAAGCAGTAATATTGTGAAACATTTTAATACACTTTAAAATCCAATTTATTTCTGTGATGCAGCAGAAATTATTCTAATATGTTTTTTTATCATCAATGCTGGACACATTTGGGCTGCTGTGTGGTTTGTGTGTGTATATACAGTCACGTGAAAAAGTTAGGACACCCCTATTGAATTCCATGGTTTTCTGTATCAGGAGATGATAAAAAATTATCTGGTCCTTGGAAAGTCTTACAATTTGGAAATAAAGCCTCAGATGAACAATATCACATGACATATCACACCGTGTCATTATTTATTTAACAAAAATAAAGCCAAGATGGAAAAGCAAAGTCAGGACACCCTATTATTCAGTTGCCAGTAGCACCACTTTTAGCAGTAATAACTTGAAATAATCATATTCTGTATGACTTCATCAGTCTCTCACATAGTTCTGGAGGAGTTTTGGCCCACTCTTCTTTACAACATTGCTCCAGTTAATTGAGGTTTGTGGGCATTTGTTTCTGCACAGAGTCAGGATGATGTCTGGACTTTTGACTGGACTGTTGCAACACCTTGATTCTTTTCTTTTCAGCCGTTCTGTTGTAGATCTGCTGCTGTGCTTGGGATCATTGTCCTGTTGCATGATCCAATACTAACCCAACTTTAGCTGTCGGACAGATGGCCTCACATTTGACTCTAGAATTCTTTGGTATACAGAGGAGTTCATGGTCGACTCAATGACTGTGAGGCCCCCAGGCCCTGTGGCTACAAAACAAGCCCAAAATCATCTGCCCTCCACCAGCATCAGGCACGTGCACAGGTAGGGCTCAACCTGTGCAGAGCACATGCCCTTTTTGCCCTTACACTCCGAAGTGCCCTTTTTTTGGTGATGGTGTTTTTTTTTTTTCCTTCAATAAATCAATGATATTGGTCACCCTTTACATCTGTCTGTCTGCTTTACAAATATTTAGCTAATGAAAGGTATTAAAAAGAGCTTGTGACTAAATCTTGTTGGATCCGCTCAAACTGTCAATAAAACCTCAAAACTCCACCCCCTCTATCTTGACTGAATGAACTGAAGCGGCTTTATTTTTGTTAAATAAATAATGGCATGGTGTTATGTGTTGTTCATTTGAGGTTTTATTTTAGAACACATATAATGCGCATATATATATATATATATAGAATGTCATACTGTTTCAAGATTCTTTGTATAAAAAGTTAAAAAGAACAGCATTTATTAAAAATAGAAATCTTTTCTAACAATACAAGTCTTTACTATCACTTTTTTAACAATTTAACATATCCTTGCTGAATAAAAGTATTAATTTCTTTCAAAAGATATATATATATATATATACTGACCCCAAACTTTTCAACGGTAGTTCAAAAGATTTATATTTTAAATAAATGCATTTATTTGATAAATAAATTATCAAATAAATGCAGCCTTGAAGAGCATAAACTTCTTTTTTTTTTTTTTAAACGTTAAACATCTTACTTATCCCAAACTTTTGAACTGTATTGTATATAATATATAGGGCTGTCAGTCGATTAAAATTTTTTATCGAATTAATTACAGGGTGCTGCTTAATTAATCTAATTAATTGCAAACTAAATATGGCTGTGAAAATACACCTAAAAGATCGTTTAAAGCTATTATTGTTTTAAATGCTTAGGCTACAATGGCCTAACATAAAGTATGGAACATAAAAGAAAATAATTTGAGAACCATCTCAGTATTTTTTGTTCATGCAATGAAAGTCACTAGTGACCAAAACAGCTTAGTTACCAACAGTATTCAAAATACCTTCTTTATGTTGTGCAAAAGTATGTCATTCAGGTTTGAAACAACATGAGGGTGAGTAAATGATGACAATTTATTTATTTTTGGTTTACTATCCCTTTATTTATTTATTAAAATAAATAAATGAAATGAGACTCTAAGGAAGAAACTAAAACTACCAGCAGGTGGCGGTAAATGTCTATATGAGTCGATTCGTTCAAACGGCTGATTTATTCAGAAACTAAACACTGCTGTGTTGCTCGGAGACGCACAACATTTCAGCTGTTGCTTTATAGGTAATATTTTCGTTGGTAAATTTGAATAAAAACATAGAATATTGGGTTTAAAATATAGTACAATATTAATTTCTTATTTACTGAACTGTTGTATAAAATCTCATTTGCACTCGTGTTCTTCTATGGTTCTTCGTGACAAAAACGGCACTCCTGTGATATTGCTCACGTTGCTGGTGTGATATGCTTATCATATGATATGAATATGAGACAAAAACTCATACAGGGGCTTTTTTTTTTTTGCCCCAATATCTTGAATTTTAGGGCATAACTGCATTTATAGAGTTGTTGCCCACTTGCCCTGCATCATATTTGTCATCAGTCAACTGTATGAAATAAGACGACATAGGCCTAGAGGTCTGGGGGCGGGGCCAGTGTGCGTTAACTGCGTTAAAATATTTTAATCGCGTTATTTTTCATAACTAATTAATTAAGTTAACGCGTTAAACTGACAGCCCTAATAATATATATATAAAATACTTTTATATATTTACAAATATGATCATAAATACATATTTAACATCAGTATCTAAAAAACAAATATCCGTAAAATATTTACTAAAATATTAGTAATTAATAAATATTAATATGTACAAACATGACATCTGAATGGTAGTGTACATAAGACATATGAACATATATCCAAGATATACACTTTATATATAAAAGGTTATGGAAAATACACATGAATGCCTTTAAACTGCAACTGTGAATTGCACTTCTATGGAAAACAATATTCAAATGCAGTGGAAAAAATAAATATGGAAACCACCTTGTTATCAAGTTTCCTCCCTTTAACTGAATGATTAACATTTCTACAGTATCTTGCTGTATACAGAGACAGATCTCAACGGACTTTAAATTAGGCTGCAGGTCACAATCTGAAGAATATGTAAAACACGTAGGAAAGATATTAAATACAGAAAGAAGAAGTGTTAAGCCTAGGGCACAAACTACAACTCACCCACTGCATCAGCTTTGCATAAACTAAATTTAATGTATCTCTTAAACTAGATATTAAAATCTAAACAACATGAATAACAGCCTGACAAAGAGTCATTAATTATGTTTCAGTACAGTGCTATCATCATAAATGCTTTAATCCTAGATCCTACTGACACAAATACTCACAAGCACTGCGAAAGAAAATATACAGATATTCAGTGAAAGCCCAAAACCTACACAAACACAATAAAAACTGCAGAAAATGTCTAAATAAGTTCACAAGAAAATAAAAACATGCAAAACAAACTGGCTCAAATTTCCAGCATATCTAAATTAAACAAAAAGGGTTTCTGGAAAACTTGTTTTGCCAAAATAATCTGCTGCCAACATGGTAAACAACAGACTTGACTGTATACAGACATATTTCCTCCTATCTAAAGATAAGCGAGTATAACTAAAAACATCTTAAAGGGGTCATATGATGCTTTTTAAAGATCATTATTTTGTGTATTTGGTGTAACAGAATATGTTGACATGCTTTAATGTTCAAAAAACACATTATTTTTCAAATACTGTACATTATTGTAGGTCCTCTATGCCCCGCCTCTCTCAAACGCTTCGTTTTCTACAAAGCCCCCTCCTTTGACAAGCGCAGTCTGCTCTGATTGGCCAACTGACCCAGTGCATACTTTAGTCTTTGCAACTTCACGAACAGCTTGTAACACTCCAAAGAGAAAGGAAAACTTGAAATCGCATCATATGACCCCTTTAATAACCTTAAAAAGAGCTTAATCATTGATTATGAATATTAATGAATGACCCCAAGCCTATAATTGTAAATGAAACCAGTGAGTGTAGAGTTCACTCTCTCCTGCAACAGGATCCGTAGTAAAGCCAATAATAAATATCAGGTCACAACTAGAGGAAATTCAATACAGCAGAGCTGGTTAGTTTCCCATAAACCTCTAAGCCACAGGCATTCTGGAGTGAAAGCGCTCATAAGGTAAAAGTATAATTTACAGAAGGGAAATCACATGTTATAAGAAAACTACAGCCAAACTGGAGCACAAAGCATTGTTTCCAAAGGGAGGGGGATGTTTTTTTTTAAAATAAAGATCCCAGTTTTTGTTTGCATGTGCAAAATACTAGTTTAAGCTTTCAGCAGTTCCAGAGCTGTGAAGATCAGTTTCACAATCAGTTTAAGGCTACATGTTATGTAGAGCTTTTATTGGTTATTAAATGAGGGCTTCAATGCCATTTTTAAAACCACAAATATGATAATTAACTGTGATAGATTAATTCAACACAAATAATAAATGATGTGGCATTAATAGTATCTGATGTCTGACATCCCTCCAGCAGTAACCGGCTTCTTAATTAGCATATTGCATGGCTCTCTGAAATACTACATGCTGATTAGTCAATCACTGCATTTTGCGTTTTAATATTTTGCATACTGACCCACTACACAGAATATAGTAGAAAGTATAACTGACTGTTGTTGCCCAAAAAAGCTTCTACATATAGCTGTGCTATATGTATATTATGTCTCTCTGAGGTCCCTTCTCTTATAATAAATACATTTCAAGTCACATCAATATTTCAGGCATATTTTTTTTTTATTTGGCAAGTAGCCATTTAATAAGCAGAAAAACATGCAGATAGCTGGTCACGTCATTTTGCCCATTTGATATGTACTAAAACAATCATGAAGACAATTAATTTGCCTGTTGTTTTTAAAACCAATTTAACCAGAAAAAAAGAACTTCATGAATACCTGTAGTACCCACTCAGTTTTTTTTTTCCTCCAAAATTTTTGAAACTTCAGCACTCATGTGATATTAAAGTGTCCATCAAAAGAGCAGTTCATTATCTTGGTGGAAGCAGAAAGTTATCTAGGAAACTCGGAGGACATAAGATTAGTGAAACTGGTTTAAAGATCAAAGATTAACATGTTTCAGTCATGGAGCAAGTATGTGAATAATTTCCCTCAAAACTTGTTTGTCTGAAAACCAGAAACAAAACAGCCTCTATATAAACAAACAAAACAGCAACTGAGTTCACTGACATTACCTGTGTGCGGCTTTCTCAGGTGACTTGGCCTGGTCTCCAGTTTGCTCAGGCATGATGATCTTCCTGCCTGCTGGATGAGCACAGTGTTCCTGGACCGCCTCCCACGGGCGTCTGGATTGGAGCTGCTGTCCTCACTCAGTTCTGGAGCTCGCTCATTCTCACTGGCCTCTGACTGGTCAGGGTTAGCATTAGGGTTAGTGTTAAGGTCCAGCTCTTTCACTGTTTGCAGCGTTACAGGTTCCGTATGGGCAGTGGTGCTCTCGCACTGTGTGTTGGCTGTGTGGCTGGTGTCTGGCAGTAAGTGCTTTTCCGTGCTGGCCTGGGCTGGGGTGAAGGACACCTGTGAGGTAGAAACAGCTTGGCTGAAGTTTTCGGGTGGAGCAGCTGGACTAGGGGCTGGTAAAGCGTCCACTTCCGAGACAGAGTCTTCGGTAACGTGAACAAAATCGGATGGTGTTATTGCCGTGGTGCGGTCTTCTGAGATCATGGGCGACTGTAGAGAACTCTCAGCCAGTTCTCCAGGCCAAGAACCTGGGGTACCAGTTTTAGGAGGATCTTCCGCAGCATCCTGACCTTTACCCTGGTCTGGGACATTGGACAAGTTCTTAGAAAACCGCTGGTGAGCTGATAAGGACTTGGGCAGCAGCTGCTTCTTATGCTTGGAAGACCTCTTGCTGCTCACATCATCGAGGAACCCTGAATCATCTCCCTCATTGGTCCTTGAGCTGATGCAATTAATAAACACGCTGCGATTGGTAGACGCTTTCTCAAGGTCTTCCGTCTGAGATCGGCTGATCTTCTTCTTGTGTCCGCCAAATCCGAATGAATGCCGCGTCTTTGAGACGGAACCATCTCGAAAGGTGGCTTCAGATCCCTGGCTGCGATTGTCCAGGCTGAGCTGGGTCGGGTCGCTGTTTCTTTTGCTGTGGAAGCTGAGGGATGGTGTGCGGAAGAGGCTGCGGCGTTTGCTCGTGCTGCTGGAGCTGGAATTGGTGCTGGAGGGAGAGGAAGTGTGGACGCCATTGCCGACACCACCAGAGGAGGGCGAGGAGGGGAGCGAGTCCTGCCTCTTTCGCACACTACGTCTAAAGATGGGAAGCCTGGAGACCAGGGTGGAGCGGCGTGTCCCTGATTCGCCCATTAAGATCGAGCACTAGATCAGACACTCTGTAAACAGGTCAAAAGACAAACTCAGAATTAGCATGACGGCCTTAACAAAGAGACACAATCAAGATTGGAAATGACCACCAGCCAAATAATTGTGGTGATTTTGGCTTCTACACTAGGCAACATGTCTCGCTTCTGACAAGAAATTATGTTGTTTAGAAACAAACTCTTGAGGAACCAATTTGTTAACAGTTTGATAAACAGGCGCAGGGAAAGTTGGCAAGACGCATAGCAGCCTTCAATAGCTTGCCGTCTTTGTTTAACAGTTCTGCCTAATAACTAAAAGACATATGCTATAATAATTTTCATATTTCAATCTACGCTGCTCTTATTATCTAAATTATCTTGGTTTAACGGTGGATCCAAACCTTAGTTTTAAAAAACATGTAAAGAAATTGGTGAGGACTATAAAGTATAACTTGATAAATTTCAGACAAATTAGACAATGTCTACCCACTGATGTAGCTAAGACTTTTATGCATGCTACAATCTTTTCTCATCTGTCATACTGTCTGACATGTTTGGGTCAAGCAGAAGAAACTGTTATTAAACCTTTAAAATCTCTTTATAAGCAGACTTCAAAAACTCTGGACAAAAAGCCTAACCAATATCACCACTGTAGGGTTTTGGAGAAACCCTACAGTGGTGACATTTGATCATTTTAGACTTTTCTCAAATGTGTGTATGGTATATACAATTTTAAATGGTTTGGCCCCTTCCATACTTCGTGATTTTGTGCATTTTCGCTCTACAGTCTCTGTAAGATCTACTAGATCAACATCTACTAGTGATTGTGTTGTTCCTTTTCGTCATTCTGTCTTTGGATCATCGTCTTTCTCAGTAAATGCTATTATTCATTGGAACACTCTACCAGAAGACATAAGGATGTGCACATCTATTGACATTTTTAAACTAAAACTAAAATCTCCTCAACTCTGTAAACACTGACATGGTTGTGGTTTAACTGGACGCTATCTTTACTGTTCTTTTTAGGTTCTGATAGGATGTGTACAAGTATTACTGTATTGTATGTGTTTGTTGTCTTATGTTTTTATGTTTACCTATGATTATGATTACCTGCCAAGGAACCACGGATGAAAACTAGCCATTGGCTAAATTCGGTACAATGCATGAAATGGAAACATTTATGTTAAAATTGTGCATGGTCCCTTTTCAAATAAATTTAAATAAATAAAATAAGTAGGATCCGAAGTAAGTAAAAAAAAAAAACATTACAAATATAAAAACACTGCATGTTCACTTGATTTCGAAATTTGCACAATTCAAAATATTTTTAAATATTTGTCAAAAATAGATTTAAAAAAAGAAAGAAAGAACTTTAAGACAATGTTTAATTTTTTTATATTCTCATTAATCAATGTTCTTGTATTATTATTAGTATTTTAGTGGGAAAAGGAAAGAAAATAGTACATCAACTTTAGAGGTAGTATAAAACGGGTTCCCAAAAATAACAGCAAACACAGACCTATTAGTTCAGATTCCACTTGTAAGCCACAGTGTGGTTAGTGGTCCTCAAGTGTGGGGGAAATGTGAATTAAAATACTGTATCAATTCACTAAACATTTAATTTCCCACCATAGACACAATGATGCAGATTCACAAGGGAAAAATCCAGGAGAGCTGCATTACTGTTTGCTGAGCACAATTAATTACAGCACATTAAGCATACTGTGCTGACCTTCTGTCAATACAAACTGAACTGAAATCACAGCGAATCAGTAAAGGTGATTTGAAGGTGTTCCCTCTGATTGCTTCAGTCCAAAAGAAGTGAAATAAAAAGCACCCATCCATACAAAAAAGTGTCTCACACAGCTCCGGGGGGTGAACAAAGGCCTCCTGTAGCGAATCGATGCGTTTTTGTAAGAAAAATATCCATATTCAAAACGTAATAATCACTTGAATCTAGCTTGCGCTCACTGTTGTAAACGGAAACAGTTCCGGGGGGATGACGTATGTGGTCAGTTCTGTGCATGCGCCGCTCAGAAGTGACACACACGGAAGCGCAGGGGAGAGATCAAAACAAAACAACGGTCAAGAATTAGAAGTACAAAACGAGAATTTGTAAAGAAGAATGTCGGAGGATTTCGATATATGCCAAGAGGAGACTGGTTTTCCTTTGCTAAAGTAAGGAAACTTTGCTTCCTTTGCTACTGTTAACAAACGTTGGTTTTCACGAGACACACCGGCGCATGCGCAACGCTGACCTCATAGCTCCCAGAGCTACTTCCGTGTACAACTGTTGATGTAAGCTACATTAAAGTGATTATTAAGTTTTGAATATGGATATTTTTCTTACAAAAACGCATCGATTCGCTACAGAAGGCCTTTGTTCACCCCCCGGAGCCGTGTGAGACACTTTTTTTTTTATACACCTAGGATGCCTCGGGGTTGAATAAAAAGCCGCCTAATTTAAAACGGATTTGAAACATATTCCAGTAGCAAGCAAAGGTATCAGGATGAAGTAAACAGTTAATTTAATTTCCCAAATTCCCAGTTAGTTTAGTATATACAACGGTTCAAATCACTGAGCAGGAGGGGGATCTGCGCCCAGGCCAGTTGACAATGTTCTGTACACAGACACACTCACACGCACACACACTCACCCACACCCCCACACCGAGTGTTTGTTCCCCGAGTAGCCCCAATTTTAATAGAATGGAGAACTTGAATAACTGACTGAATAATCCATTAAAGGCAGAATCGAAATAAATCGCAGAAGTCAAAATTGCAAAAAATGTCCCAGATTGCCCGAATTCACCCTAATGAGTGGCGAAGTCTTGTGTTCAGGAAAGTTATTTTTTTGCATGCATGTTTATGTCATAAACAGCGAAGTCTGTGTACAAAACTGAGACAGCGCTTTATAAATACAGACTTTAATAAATAAAGTGTCCAACATAGGCCTACGAATAAATGTGTTATAAACATCTAGATTCTAGAAATGCCAAATCTGCTCATACTTTTATGAAGTTCATTTTAAAGTGATCTGTATGGAGTGTCTGTATAATGAGTATTTTTGAATGTAATCTAAAAAGTGTCATCAAACTGCGTCACTACCTGTGTCACTCATAGCAGCACTAATAAACCCAGTCAGAATCAACTCCGCTTGTGTGTGTCTGAGGGCTGATTCATTCAATTCCACACTAAAACGTGCATTATAACTAGCTCTTCTCTCTGTATCCATTTTGTCATCATAATCAAAGAAATCTAATAATGTTCTCGATTTGTATATATTTAATGCATTTCTGACAGAATTATGTGCTATTTAAAGGTCAGCATGTTGGGGTGTATTGTTTGTATAAGGAAAAGAATTTGTCATCTAGAATATCCAGAAAAGTTGACAAAACAGTCAAGTGCATGATTGATGTACCTATGGTCAGGTGTAGTTTATTTTACATTATCAGAAAAAAATATATATAGGGGAGAGTGGGTTAAGTTGAGCAAGTGGGTTGACCCACCCTCTGTAGCCTATATTGGCAAAAATACACTTTTTATGTGACGATGTATTTTGGAAGCACCCATAATTTCTGCCAGACTGTGAAAAGGAGAAATTATATTGACAATACCAGTGACACTGTGACGTTAAGGGGTCAGAGCAAACAAAGAATGTAATTAAAAAGGGAATTATATTTTGCCAACGCGTTTCGGCACACAGGCCTTCATCAGGGCTAAAAGATTGCAAGTGTACATAGGTTCCTTTAAATGCAAACAAGGACAAAATTCAAACTTGCAAACAACCAATGAAAATATTGGATAATATATCATCCACCAATCACAAAATTCATCAAACAAATAGCCACATATTTTTTCAGAATAAATATACAGGTAAAAGGAGAAACACATGGGAGAAGTGGAATGTCAAAGTAAAATTTGGCTTGTCAAAGTGAAATTTGAACATAGCAGATGTAATGGCTGTTATATCAAAGCAAATTTAACCAGGTCTAAAATATTTATGATGCATATAGGGAATAAATATACAGGTAAAAGGAGAAACACATGGGAGAAGTGGAATGTCAAAGTGAAATTTGAACATAGCAGATGTAATGGCTGTTATATCAAAGCAAATTTAACCAGGTCTAAAATATTTATGATGCATATAGGTGATTTAGCAACATGTAAAACCATGTAAACCATTTAGCTAAATATTAGCCTGAATTGGTAAGCTATCTGTTTTTGTTTGTTTGTTTGTTTGTTTGTTTCCAAAATGGCAGCTAAGGTAAATTGAGCCAGCATTTTTAACTTACCCCAGCATAAGTCACTGCAGTTATGTTAAATATCTGAAGTATAAACCGGTATTTTAATGTGATATTACGCAACTGGTTTAGTTGATCATGTACTCATTATTTGTAGTTTATTTGAACAGTGTACAAGTGCACAAAATCCTTCTCTGATAAGAAGCAGAAGATGCTTTTTATCACATTATAATCAGATATATCTTTCCACCTGTAGCCCCTAATGGCCTGTTAAACATTTGCAGAAAAGCTACCATGCCAATAATCTTTAAACTAAAATGTTTATAAGTTTCAGTGACATTTATTCCTTAACTCTAAATCAGTTTTTTTATTTAATTTTACTCAACAAACTCTCTGTTTAGTCTGTTTTTGGGAAGGTTACAAATTTGGTGTTCAACATTGTTTCAGAAATGCGAACAATTAAAGATTCAAATATAAACATTTAAATATTTTGGTTGGTCTTATATTTTTTAGGTTAGCTAAAAAAATAAAAAAAAAATAAAGAAATATGACTGTAAAAGGAAAATTGATCATTAAATTAGTTTTTAAAAGAGGTAAATTTATCTTTAAAGTTTCACATGGGTTTGAATCAGATTCAGTCAGATGGTCAGTTTACAATCATGGTGCATCTTATCCACTGACTGTCTAACCCCACTCTCCACTGCTATAACATTTAGATATTTTACTTAGATTTACATAGTTAAGCTGAAATATGTTTGTGACTAAAAACAAAAATATGACTTACA